ATGCTATTAACTTCCACTTAGATGTGAGGTATGGAGAGGAAGAAAGCAAGTGAGTATGTGTGACAGAGTGGAAGCCACCTGTTCATGACAGGGAACTACCCAGGTGGACAGGCTGGGAGAAGATTGCCCAGCATATGACAATTTAAGAATGGCACCTGGCAGGGCTCAACTTCACCTCACAGATTCCTAAGCAGGCACTATGCCTGTATCTTACTCTATTAGCTGCCCAGTGTTAAGGCAGCACCAAGGAGGTGGGCTGTAAACCTTTGTTGGTTGAACACTGGCTATTTTGGGTATATTGCAAGCCGTGATGGGCATACCATCATACCAGGATGAAGATGACATGAATCCTCCTCTTAAGACCTCAAAGGTACAGATTAGTGAGACACAACCACAACTCTTACATAAAAGAGAGTGATGGTGACTACTGAACAGGATACAAAGCTCTCCAGGAATAAAGAAGAAGAAGGGGTGAATTCACATTGGAAGTATCTGAGGACACTTGTTGGAAGAAGTGAGACAGAAAGCAGGACTTGAAGCATAAGAAGGGTTCACATGAACAAATATGAGAAAGACAGCCAGGTCAAGAGAATAGTGCTTTGGGCAACGCCACTAAGAGGGGAACAGGGTAGGTAGCAGCTGGGATGGTGGAGAAGCCTCTGCTTCTTTCACATGACTTTGGACGGAGCTATTCTCTTACTACCTGGAGTCAGGGAGGCCTGGGAAGGCCAACCATGATTTCTTCACGCACCATGACTGAAGAAACAGAAATAGACTATGATTTTTCAAAATAAGGCCAAACACAAAGGCTCTGAGTACAGAGCAGAAAACAGAGATTAAAGTTACTGAAAGCTAAAATGTTTGGAGAGACAGAAAAAATAACAAAAGTATTAGAAAGCTCAAAGATCCTTAATCTTGCCAGCTATCCTTAATAAAACAAAATCACTAAGTAGTGAGAATAAGGCAAAAGGCAGACCAACTTTCACAGAACCTCAGTGTTGGTCCTTACACAAAGAAGGGAAACAGGCGCCCGCTGCCAAGTACATTTCTGTATAGTCATATAAAAGTGAGCTACTGAATGAATGAACTAACTGAACTGAATTATTTCTACTGAGCTTTGCATCATTCTTTTCTGGTAATTTCCAAACCATACCATGCTCATTTCAATTGACCATGATTTGGAAAGCCTACCTTTTCATCATCAAAGTGTATAGAGGACAGAAAACCAAAGGTTAATACCCTAGAGGAAAAGCCCCCAGATCTAAGCCCCCTTTACCTTTCTGGAAGCTTTTCTGTCTTGGATTTCTTCATTTAAAATCAGTATCCTAGGGTGGTGTAAGTTCCAGAGGCTGTTTACTCGTGCCCAAATAATGTCCAAGCACCACCTTCAGAGAATCCGCAGCTCGTTATATGAGCACATAGAAGGCAATACTCACAACTGCTGGGATTCCTTACAGGACAGGGTGACAGGTAACCAAGACCACAGAGCTATGATGGGATATGACCGTTTCCCCTCACACTGCCAAACAGCTGTCTCTGTGGCAGAGCTGAAAGTCGTGTAAAGTGTGGTGCTAATGGAAAAATCTGGTGGCACAGGGCTTCGGAATTTTGCAATCTTTTCCTGTAAGCTGCATTGTTGGAATGGTTTGACATGCGAACCATTCCCTCCTCCCTGACTGGCCTATGGACTTCCAGGTCTCCACCCTGCCGTGCTATAAAAATCAGTGCATCATCGGGCTGACTCACCACCTGAAGAGGCGGAGTACCGGCTAGGGGACATGCTGCATGAAGGCATTAGGTACTTCAACTTGCTCCTCCAGGTCATGGGAAGACAAATAAGTCTTTTTTTTTTTGTCTCACAGTTGGAGGGAACATGCCAAATGGGCTGCCTCAAAAAACATTTCCAGGGGGTGATCCTGATTTGAATGAAGCATCCTGGTCAATCAGTCTGAAATGCTAGGGAAAAGGAAAGTTTCTTGGTGGATACCCTCTCTGAGTATCCACCAAGATAAGGAGGACACTGAGAGCAGAGGGAGAGTGAATTTTTTTATGTTTTAGTTAGAAGAATATAAGAACTGATGTGTGTGACTAAGGCTTTAAAGATATTAAGCAGCCGGGCTTACGAATTATTAGAAATATTCCCTCTGTCACTCACTTATATTTCCAATTTAGGAATATTCTCCCTTTTTCTTTCAAGAGATTCTTAAATGTGCCTGCTGTATAGAACACTTGAAATGCCTTCAGCTAACATATCGATGCAAGAAAAAGGGGACTCAGGAAGTGGACAGGGAAATTTTGGCAGTATAAGCTGAACCAATGTTTTCACAAAGTTATTTGCAAAGTTGATGGAACTTATCAACTAAACCAAACACTGTGAGACTAAATTCAGAAAAATCCCATGACTAGCACTTGATTCTATCTAACAGAGACCATGTCCAAAATGCATAAGATCCCTTGGAGGGAGAACTGTTCCAATCAAATAAAATCACAAAAAAGGAACTAAAATAAATTTAGGACTTGTGATTAATAAAAAGAGCTATAAATAATAAAACTGCTTTCATAAACCATTACTCTAGCATCAGCTCCTCTAAATAAAGGTTTATATGATGAAATGTAGTCATGTCCACAACCTCTTATCCAGCTGATAGAAACGTCATGAACTACTCAAATCTGGCTTGTCACAAACAAGACAGTGTAAGAGTACAAAGATTTAACTTTCCGAATAAGAACAAATCCCATGAATCCAACAATTTGTTTCTTGGCCCAGTTCTCCCTCATGTCTATAGTTCTGCTTTTCATTCTGTTGGTTAGAAAAGCCTTCTAATATTACAGAATATTATTTTATCTTCATTTTCAGCCATGGCTTGCTCCAAGAACTACTTGGATTAGAAATCTGGTCTCTATTTTAAAAGATCCTCAAAACAGCTACATACTTATTTTTAAGCTGTGAGATCACTTGTCCATATAGAATGGCCAGATGAGATCACTGATGCTATATATACAAGTGGGCTGCATATTTCAAACACTTTTCTTGTTTTCAGCCTTAATAAAGAACTGCAACACAAAAGCAGAACCAGGCTTATTCTCTAAAACATGAACATACTTTTCGTAAAGCATATGGAAATGAGTTATACCAAAAATATCTAACAGGGCAGCCAAGAGAGGAAAAACAGAATCATCACTTTTTTTGGACTTAGAACTTCTACAACTGTTTGAATGAATCTTATCAAGGCTCATTTCCCGGTTGGTTCTTCTTTGAGGTTTTCATTAGAGGAAGTCCACTCAATGCCACTTTAAAACACACTGCCAGAAAACCAAGAATGCATTATTTCCGTGAATGTGAGAACACCACTAATTATTTTTCATGCCAGATAAAATCAAACAGCCTTTTACAGAAAAGGTCCCCAAAGCAGAAAGTGAGCTTTAGTCACTCATTTTCCTCCAAGCGCATTCAAACCTTTCTTAGAAATTACACAAAGGAGATGAACAAGAATTATCCCGTACAGAGGAAGAAGGAAGCTGATGGGCTCAACTAGCCTACCCAAAGTTCTTCCAGAAAGAGAGGAAGTGTATAATCAGAAACAAATGCCGATACTCACGATGGGAAGCTGGCAATGGGAAGCTGGCGGATGAGCAGGGCACAGAATATTCAAATCCCCGTAGAAGGGCTGTTGTTGTAATCCTGTGCCCCCCTATGTAATCTCCAAAAGATAGCAAGAGCTCAAGTTCTTAACATAGTGAAAACTCCCTGTTGGGATTTTGTGCTTTTTTCTTTCTTGCTGGCACCCACGGAGCACCTAGGCAGAAATTGACAACGGATGGGAACCTTTGCTCAAGACCTAGGACTAGTAGGAGCCCGAATTCTATTCTTCCTACACCCAAGTAGGCTGGTACTTGCTGGGAGATAAGTCACCCTTCCTCGGCTTAGCTGGAGAGCTAATCGCCTGTCTGAAATCTGATGCTTAACCCATTATGACTCGCTCACGGTTTGAAGCAAAAATATTATAAGGTAAAGCTGGCTACAGCTTAAGACCAAAGCCTTGAAAGTTTATAAAACAGGCAAGCCCTGACAAGGGAGAGACTCTTCAGAGCCTCTTTGGGGCTGGATGAATTCTGGGGTTCTGATTAACCAGACAAGCAAGACTCTAAAACCCAGGGTCCCTGTTTGTAGGTGGTCTAAGCATTTTAACACTTAGGAAATTCACAAGTAAATACTTCTTACTTAAAAAAATAACTATCTTCCCAAATGCCATCACTATAAGAAAATAAATTATTTCACTTAGAAATTCAGTGTGGAATTAGCCTTCAGTTAACTAACAGTTTCATTTGAAGTTGAATTGATAATCTAATTAAATCCAGTTATTAAACACATCAAATAAAGGGTGAAACTGCATGAGGTACTAAATATACAAATATAATTTATGTATATATATACATATATATGTATATGGTATTAGAATACACTTGGTCATTTGGCTCTATAGAACAATTCACACTAAGGAAAAAAATAATCCCTGTCAGGAGAGACATGTTATTTATAATCATTCTACTTTTGGGTTTTATGTAGTTTTCTGAAATATATACTTTCTCATTGATCTGTTCAATTAGATCTTCATAGATACTACACTTCTGATTTTTAATGTCAACAGAATGCCTCAAACAAAGAAAAATGACTCTCTACTTTCAATTTCTGGGCTAGCCATGGGGGCAAGTCATGTTCTGTCATCTGAACGTAAGAGGGAGATCGAACAGAAGAGATAAAAATCCTGGCTAGCTCTTACGTATGTTTTTATGTTGGGCAATTCTGTTACCCTCTAAGCTCTCCTGATAACCACTGAACATACCATTTAAGGGAATATGCATTTAATCCTCTTGCAGATTGCATCAGGAGACCCCGGAAAGTCAAGAAGGGTGCCCACAAATTAAAACAGCCCCAGTTTCTCTTCAGCTCACCCTCTGTCTTTGGTGTAATACAAACACAGAGGTCAGATCTGACTCACCACCACAAACACACCACCTCTGCCATGCTCTCTGACATTCTTTACAGATGGTCTTGGAAAACACCAGGTCCCCTCCAGCCAGACCAGTCAGTGCAAATTGGTCTTGTTCTTGACAAACAGCATTCATATCCCTGCTGTCAGGTTCACCGCAGTGCGCTCAGAGTTCTGTTTGAGAAATGCTCCTGCCCAGAAAAAATATTTACACAACGGAAAGTAGGCTGCACTGCACCATAGCCGTCTACCTTCTCTGCCATGAGACTTTGACTCTCTGATTGACCAGGTCTTATCTGTGGCCTTTGCACTTCATTTAACATCAGCATGGAGACAAAACTTGGAGCCAAAAAACTGACGAGGTAACAAGATTTTATGAAAGTTATTTAAACATTTTACATTAAATATTTTTATGCAAGTTATTTAATTTAAAATGAGAACCAAATGGTTAATGCAGTTCAATAGGTATATTGAATGAATAAATATGTATCTGTCTGGGAAAATATACATATGTTTAGGCTGTGAAAGAGAATAGCAAGAGGGGAGAAAATGTAATAGACTAGCAAAGGTAAGTATTAGAAAAAAATACAAATGGTGATGGCAAGCATAAAAAGTCATTCACTAAGGCTCATATACCTATTTCGTTTAACTGTCAGATACAAGACAATAATTCAGTTCTTTCCCAAACATCCCAGCATCTGACAGAGCCTGGCACATGGCACCTGAGCAGGTGTTTATTAGATCATGACAGAGATAGCAGGACAAGGAGGATGGTGATTTCTCCTGACTTCTGACCAGCACTTTACATCTTAAAAAGTGTTTTGATGGTTATTGTTTTATTTTTTTCTTCATAACAATCCTGTAAAGAAGGTAGGACAAGTATTATTATCTTTATCTGACAAATAAGTCACTTGTTATTTGACTTCCAAAGAGACTCTAAACTCTAATTAAAGTTTCACAACATTAATTAGTGTTCAGAGAGGCATCAATCAGTACACTGTTTACAACACGATGGGAAAACAGGAAAAAGCAGACTGTCCCTATCCCTAGATTCTGCAGAAATACACCAATTTTTCTAACCAATGACTCCCATTTACTTCCTACTTGGCTATAAAGAAAGAGAACAGTTAGTCATGAACAATTTATGATGTTCATACCTCATTACATTAACAAATGACATTACAGCACCTCACTCCAGTACTCTTGCCTGGAAAATCCTATGGACAGAGGAGCCTGGTAGGCTGCAGTCCATGGGGTCTGCATGCATCAGACATGACTGAGTGATTTCACTTTCACTTTTCACTTTTATGCATTGGAGAAGGAAATGGCAACCCACTCCAGTGTTCTTGCCTGGAGAATCCCAGGGATGGGGTCACACAGAGTCGGACACGACTGAAGTGACTTAGCAGTAGCAGTAGCAGTAATACCATAATAAAATGCTTTAAATTAATGAAAACAAAACTGAACCAATCAACAGAAGTAGGATGAAGGATCTGGTGAAAAAGACATAAAATTATGACAAACAATTGATAATGAGGGGGTGGGCAGTAAGAAGGAAGATGAATCTGGAAGGGCTTTACAAGTAAGTCTGCCAGTTTTAGCAAATAAGAGGACACCCAGTTAAATTTGAATTTTAGATAAATAAAGAGTTCTTTAATAGTGTAAGAATGACTCTCTTTTATCTGGATACTCTGTTCACATGGAGACTTCAACTTCTACTAAAACGTAAGATTCCTAAAAGCAGGGGTTTCTGCATATTTTGTTCCCTGCTCTATCCCCAGAGCCCAGAACAATGTTTGGCACATTTTAAGTGCTCAAAATCACTGCAGATGGTGACTGCAGCCATGAAATTAAAAGACGCTTACTCCTTGGAAGGAAAGTTATGACCAACCTAGATAGCATATTAAAAAGCAGAGACATTACTTTGCCAACAAAGGTCCATCTGGTCAAGGCTATGGTTTTTCCACTGGTCATGTATGGATGTGAGAGTTGGGACTGTGAAGAAAGCTGAGCACCAAAAAATTGATGCTCTTGAACTCCGGTGTTGGAGAAGACTCTTGAGAGTCCCTTGGACTGCAAGGAGATCCAACCAGTCCATCTTAAAGGAGATCAGTCCTGGGTGTTCATTGGAAGGACTGATGCTGAAGCTGAAATTCCACTACTCTGGCCACCTCATATGAAGAGTTGACTCATTGGAAAAGACCCTGATGCTGGGAGGGATTGGGGGCAGGAGGAGAAGGGGACAACAGAGGATGAGGTGGCTGGATGGCATCACCGACTTGATGAGCATGAGTCTGAGTAAACTCCGGGAGTTTGTGATGGACAGGGAAGCCTGGCGCTGCGATTCATGGGGTTGCAAAGAGTCAGACACAACTGAGTGACTGAACTGAACTGAAGTACTCAATACATGCCATGTACTGGTAAAGTTTATTTCTTAGGCTTAGATGGTATGTACATGAGTGCCTGTTATATAACCTTTACATATTTTTTACTGTCTGAAATGTACAGTAATACATTTTACAAGTTACAGTATTAATTAACCACTCTTTTAAGGGGGAGGGGGTTGGGGGATGGAGTGGGAGTTTGGCACAAGTAGAAGCAAACTATTATATATAGAATAGATAAACAAGGTCCTGCTGTATAACACAGGGAATTATAGTTAATATCCTATGATAAATCATAATGGAAAAGAATATAAAAAAAGAATGTACATATAGGTATAACTGAATCACTTTACTGTACCAGAAATTAACATTGTAGATAAGCTATGTGTTAGTTGCTTGGTCGTGTCTGACTAAGCCCACCAGGTTCTTCTGTCCATGGGATTTCCCAGGCAAGAATACTGGAGTGGGTTGCCATTCCCTTCTCCAGGGGATCTTCTCAACCCAGGAATCAAACCTGGGTCTCCTGCATTGCAGGCAGATTCTTTGCCATTTGAGTCACTAGGGAAGCCTACTTCAATTTTTAAAAGATCAATACTTTTTACCCAATCTAACTGAAGGACTCAGTAGGGAATGAGAGTGTAAAATGACTTGTGAATGGTCCCTTATCCAATTTAAACTCTAGACAGGGATGTGAACATGCAATGATCAGTCTTCAGGTGTGTCTTGCAGCAAGGGCACAGTGTAACTAGGTTGTGCTTTTCTCAGTTGTCTTCTTTTGCATCTGCTATATTCCTCAGAGCATGAAAACTGTTTCTTTCGCCAGTGTTCTGACTCCATCGTCACATGGGATTTCTGTTCATGTTCTGAGGGGCCCAAAGCAGTGATTTTTCAGGGGGAGGGGGTAGGAAGGAATATATGCTCTTTGGGGCATAACACATATAGGGGAAGTATAGTTTAAGAAAGCATATTTAATATTATACTTTATTTTTGAAAATGAATAAAACATGTATTTACTTCACACTTAACACTCTACTAAACTATCCAAATGATGCAGTTTTTTTCTCATGGGAAAGATCAGTCACCAGCCTTTATTAGCTTCCATAAAGCTCTCTTTATCCCATCTTAAATCTGAGTCTGTAAATGTTCTTAAGTTAACTACATTTCAAAAAGTGTATTTATAACTCACATATGTTTTTGTATTGAGTTTGGCTTTTTTTGTTTTTTTTTACAATGGCTAGGTATTTCTTCTGTAATGTACAAATTCTTATAATTTCAACTATGAAATATATAAAGTGAAATAATGCCATTTGCAGCAACATGAATGGACCAAGAGATTGTCATACTGAGCGAAGTCAGTCAGAGACAGACAGACAAATATCATATGATATCACTTTTAAGTGGAATCTTAAAAAATGGTACATATGAACATATTTATGAAACAGAAAGAGTCACAGATATAAAAAACAAACTTATGGTTATGGGGGTCAGGGGTGAGAGGGGATAAACTGGGAGACTGGGATTGACATATACACATTACTATATATAAAACAGATAACTAATAAGGACCTACTGTATAGCACAGGGAACTCTACTCCATAATCTGTAATGGCCTATATCGGAAAAGAATCTAAAAAAGAATCAATATATTAGTGACTAAACAACAAATAACTAAATCACCTTACTGTGCACCTGAAATTAAACACAACATTGTAAATTAATGATACTCCAATAAACTGCTTTTAAAAAGTAAAATAAAATTTTAGAAAAGAGGAAAAAATAAAGGCTATATGCAAAACAAGTAAAACATTTATTTTGGAGTGGTGGTATTACCAGTAATTCTTGCTTTATTTTTTGGAAAATACTAAGCTTCTATATTATAAAATTTTCCCTAATGAGTTTCATATATATATGTGTGTGTGTGTATATATATATATATATACACACGCACATATATGCGCATATATGTATATACAGTTTATTCATGCACATGTATCTGTGTGTATATATATACACACATATTTATATACATATATGCATATATAAAATAAAGGTATGTGTGACTTAAGTCTCTAATCAGATTTGTTTACAGGCTTACAGAGGCCATGGTGACTAGAATACACAGAGACCTTTTATTGCCTGGCCCAGACACCTGTCTGCAATAACAAGTCATACCCTGACACCCCAGAAGTCACGAATCAGAGAATTTTTCTTTGCTTTCAGACTCAGTCCTTAGACCTGTTAGGCAGGCTACCAAGTGAGGAAGGAAGGTTATAACTGTATCATCAGACTTTAGGAACAAAGGAAAAGTGATACTCCAGGACAAATCAAGTTGGAAAGGCATTAGGGTCATTTGGGGTAAGTATCTAAACCCCTGAATATAGAATTTTGCCAGAGATACCAGAGGGTTTTGGAGAACAACTTCAAGTCCCCTTCCTCTGAGTGTGTGAAAAGAATTAGGGGCAGGAGAGGGAAAGGAGATGATAGCATCATGGGGGGGTTGAAACTCACTCAAAACTCTCAAGAAACTTCACAGTGTTTTGATTTCTGCCCTTATCAAATATTTGACTAGAGAAACAAGTAATAATCCTGACTTTTCTTTCTTCACTTAGGTAAGTTACTGAGCTTCTCTGTGCCATGATATAGGGGCAACAGTGGTGGTGGTGGCAGTGATGGTAACACATACTTTCATAGGATTACAGTGATGATTAAGTATAATAATGCAGGCAAGGCATCTTGGGTACCATGGTAATACTAAGAGTTCATTAA